TTTTTTTTTTTTTTTTTTTTTGAAACAGTCTTGCTCTGTGCGCCAGGCTGAAGTGCAGTGGTGTGATCTCCGCGCTCTGTAACCTCCGCCTCCTGGGTTCAGCAGTTCTCCAACCTCAGCCTCCCGAGTAGCTGGGATTACAGGTGGGAGTCACCACACCTGGCTAAGTTTCGTATTTTTTTTGTAGAAACAGGTTTTCGCCATGTTGGGCAGGCTGGTCTCGAACTCTGGTGTCAAGCGATCCGCCCACCTCGGCCTCCCAGAGTGCTGCGATTACAGGCGTGAGCCACTGCGCGCGGTCCCCAATATTTTTTAAGCTCAAACTATCCCATGTCCCCTTGACTGTGATAAACTGGATAACCAAAAGCAGCCTGGCCACAGTCCAGGTGGAAGGGGGCTGTCCCGAGGTGCCTTCCCATCAAAATCCGCTCCCGGGACAGGACTCACGCTGCTCACAACACCAGGGGTCAGCCGTCTTCTCCCGCCACCCCGTCAGTTGCAGAAGGCCCTGTTCTGGGCTCCCGGCTTCAATCCCAGGATCAGTCAGGTCTGGAGCCAGAGAGGCAGCTCACACGGGTCTGCCCTGGAAGGAGAGGGCGATCCGCAGGAGTTCCTGACCCAGCTCTTGCTGCCTCCCTCCGGGGCCGAACTCGGCCGACAGCTCCCGGAAAGTGACGCAGACGCGGCGGGCCTCGATGTGTCTGCGGTGGATGGCATGCTTCCACTGGTGCCGCGCGGCCCCCTTGAGCACCAGCAGCGAGCGGCGGGGCAAGGGGACGGCCACCTCCACCTCCTGGCACAGCACCGAGCGGCTGGGCGCTATCACGCTGTCAACCAAGGCCTCCGGGGCGGCTGAGGGGGCGGAGCAGAGGAGCAGGCTCCCCGGTGCCTCCCGACACATGGACAGCACGGTGGGGGACAGGAGGTTGAGGCTGACCAGCCGCTCCCCCCACAGCCACGCGTCGTCCAGGTGCGGGTCGATGGCCGAGCCGCGCTCGGGGCTGTAGTCCAGGTTGCACTGCTCGACTGGCCGGAAGCCCTCCAGCCCCGGATAGAGGCCCATCCTCCGTACCACCTCCCGGCTGAAGCTGGGGAGGCCGCAGAAGCCCTCGGTCTTTAGCTTCTGTTTCCGAAAGTTGACTTTGGGGCCATAGTCCTGAAGGATGAAGACAGAAAGGACGTGAGGTGTCTGCGTTTACGGAGATGTCTACCGCACACTAGGTCCGAAGAATTCAATCGCAGTGACCCAGGCAAGCAAAAGTCCCTACTTCATGGACATGAAGCAGGAGGCCGCGGACCCAAGGAGGCAGAAGTAATAGCAAATGGCCTGGCGTGGTGGTGCACGCCTGTAATCCCAGTGCTTTGGGAGGCCGAGACGGAAGGATCATTTGAGGCCAGGAGTTCGAGACCAGCCTGAGCAACAAAGTGAGACCTCCTCTCTGCAAGAAATTTTAAAATTAGTCTGGGCATGGTGGCTCATGCCTGTAATCCCAGAACTTTGGGAGGCCCAGGCAGGTGGTGCATTTGAGCCCAGGAGTTTGAGACCAACCTGGGCAACATAGCAAAACTCCATCTCTCATTTAGGAAAAAAAAAAAAAAAACCACAACCATTTACACAGATGTAGTGGCCCAGGATTTAGTCTCAGCTACTTAGGAGGCTGAGGTGAGAGGATCGTTAGAGCTTGGGAGGTGGAGGCTGCAGTGAGAGAAGACTGCACCACTGCACTCCAGCTTGGGAGACAGAAGGAGACACTCTGTCTCAAAATAGTAACAACAAATAGCTGGGCTTGGTGGCACATGCCTTAGTCCCAGCTACTCGAGGCTGAGGCAGGAGGACAGCCAGAGCCTGGGAGGTCAGGGCTGCAGAGAGCCGAGATCGCACCACTGCACTCCAGTCTGGGCGACAGAGCAAGACCCTGCCTCAAAAAAAAAAAAAACAAAACAAACCTGTACACAAATGTTCACAACAGCATTACTATCACAACAGCCGAGAAATGGAAACGCCGGTGTCCGTCAACAGATGAATGAAGAAATGAAATGTACAGACATCCAACGTAATGTCACAAAGGTAACGGGCCCAGGTGTGGTGGATCACGCCTGTAATCCCAGCACTTTGAGAGGCTGAGGTGGGCAGATCACTTGAGGTCAGGAGTTCAAGCCCAGCCTGGTCAGCATGGTGAAACCCCGTCTCCACTAATAATACAAAAATTAGCCGGGTGTGGTGGTGGGTGCCTGTAGTCCCAGCTACTGGGGAGGCTGAGGCAGAAGAATTGTTTGAACCCAAGAGACAGAGGTTGCAGTGAGCCGAGATCTTGCCAGTCTGGGCGACAGAGCAAGATTCCACCTCAAACAAAACAATGAAGGGTGAGGGGCACCCAGGGATGTGACTGACTGTCCCAGTGGCCACACATGGAGGCTGGGGACAGAGGGACAGAGGTGAGGGGAAGTGAGGAGGCTGGGCCACAGGTGGGAAAGGAGTGAGCTGGGGTGAGAAGGATGGGCCGCGGCGGGGAAGGTGGGAATTCGGGTGAGGAGACAGGATACTGATGTCGAGAATCAGAGGTGGGAGCACCTGTAGCTTGGGAGAATGGGGTGCCCCACCAGAACTTTCCCATGCCCTCAGTACCAAGTCAGCTGCAGAGAGGGCATAGAGCCAGGCAGCACATCCCACGAGACAGGGTGCCCGGGCGCACTTCTGCCCACTGGACACATGTCCTGCAGCGAGTCTGGATGCGCACAGCCTCAAGGTCTGGGGAACTCACCCACTACCAACCTTGGAGGATCGTGGGGTGTGGCTGCAGAGGAGGAGGGCCCCAGCAGTGGGGCGGTCCCCCGATGCAGCCCAGCCCTCCCCATGAGCTCAGGGCCAGCCTACCTGCTTCCTCCGTCCAGACTGGGAGAGCTTCCAGGGGTCACAGTCCATGAGCCGCACCAGCTCTGCTTCTTCCTCCTGAGTCACAAAGTCCTCGATCAGCATCACTCCTGGGAAGGGGAAGGCCCAGCCCTCAAAGTCAGATTCCTCCGAGCCCACAGCCCAGCCGGTGTCAGAGCAGTAAATGAAACGGTGTGTTTTCTGCAAAAGAAAAACAGGTCCACAGACTGGGCAACACAGCGGGACCCTGTCCCTACAAAAAGTTAAAACAGGCCGGGAGCGGTGGCTCACGCCTGTAATCCCAGCACTTTGGGAGGCTGAGGCGGGCGGATCACCTGAGGTCAGGAGTTCAACACAAGACTGGCCAACATGGTGAAACCCCATTTCTACTAAAAATACAAAAATTAGCCGGGCATGGTGGTAGGGGCCTGTAATCCTAGCTACTTGGGAGGCTGAGGCTGGAGAATTGCTTGAACCCAGGAGACAGAGGTGACAGTGAGCCGAGATGGCACCACTGCACTCCAGCCTGGGTGACAGAGCAAGACTCCATCTCAAAAAAAAAAAAAAAGTTGAAATAAAAATTAGCCGGGCGTGGCAGAGCACATTTGTCATTTCAGCTACGCAGGAGGCTGAGGCGGGAGGATCATTTGAGCCCAGGAGGTTGAGGCTGCAGTGAGTGAGCCATGGTTGTGCTACTGCACTCCAGCCTGGACAACAGAGCAAGACCCTGTCTCGGAAAAAAAAAAAAAAAAGATGTGTCCTGGAGCCGTGGCAGCCCCTGGCACTTGTGTGGCCTCAAGAGACTCTGAGGGCTCATTCCTCCCGCCAGGCCACGGTGGAAGGCAGCTGGAGTCTAGTGGGAGGTGCAGGCAGTGTCTGCCCCAGGCTGACCAGGGAAGGCCCGAAGCCCTCTTGAGCTCCCATGAATTTGACTGGTTTCCTTTCTCACTTTCCTTGCCTGTGAAAGAGAAGGGCTGGTACGATCTTTCCTTCTTCTCTTTACAAAGGAGTTCAGCGACGTTTAGGAACTAGCCCCAGGCTGCACAGCACCTCCTGCACTCCTGTCTCCTAGGCTGCGTGTGTGCACCCTAATCTCTTTAGGTCTTTGCTGACGCCACCCTGGTGTCCCAGGGGCTGGCCCGTGCCTATCATAAGTCTGAGGCTCACCCAGGAGGGCAACGTCCTTCCCCACAGAGCTGAGTATTCACAGAGCTCCTCGGCACCCCAGACTCCCTCCTCTTCACTCTTGTTCTCAAGGCACCTTTCCAGGCCCAGCATCATGCCTCAATCCTCACACCCTGGGCTGTCACTCAACTCCCACCCTATGTCCCTCTCTGCCCTGCCACCATTCCCGAGGCCTAGTGGTACTCTCAGGTCTCCCCTATGCTAAAGGAAGTCTAGAAACCAGGCTGGGCGCGGTGGGTCACGCCTGTAATCCCAGCACTTTGGGAGGCCGAGGTGGATGGATCACCTGAGGTCAGGGGTTCGAGACCAGCCTGGCCAACATGGCAAAACGCCTTCTCTACCAAAAATACAAAAATTAGCCAGGCGTGGTGGTGCATGCCTGTAATCCCAGCTACTTGGGAGGCTGAGGCAGGAGAATCCCTTGAACCTGGGAGGCAGAGGTTGCAGTGAGCCGAGACTTCACCACTGCACTCCGGTGTGTGCAACAGCGGGAGATTCTGTCTCAAAAAAAAGAAAAAAAGGTCTAGAAACCGCTCCTGGCCTTGTCTCCTCCCAAGCCACAGCTGCTCCTCCTCTCCTGTCACCCCCATTCCTGTACCTGCATCCTCCTACCCCCAACTCTCCTGGGGCGTCCACCTCTCTCAACTGTCTCTTCTCTGCCTGCTGTGCAGCCAGCTTGACCGGGACCCCGAGTCATGCTGCCAATGACAACTTCTTAAATCTCTTCCTTGGCTTCTGCTACCCCTTCCTCTCCACCTCTCTTCATTAAAAAGAGTTAGTTAATGGTCAGGCACAGTGGCTCACGCCTGTAATCCCAGCACTTTGGGAGGCCAAGCCGGGAGGGTCACTTAAGACCAGCCTCAGCAACATAGCAAGATCGTATCTCAATTAAAAAAAAAAAGTTCTGGCCAGGTGTGGTGTCTCACACATGTAATCTCAGTTCTTTTGGAGGCTGAGGCAGACGGATTACTTGAACACAAGAGTTCGAGACCAGCCTGGCCAACATGGCAAAACCCTGTCTCTACCAAAATAGAAAATAGTTAGCCTGGTATGGCAGTGCACTTCTTTCTTTTTTTTAAAGATGGGGTTTCACCATGATGGCCAGGCTGGTCTTGAACTCCCGACCTCAGGTGATCCACCCACCTCGGCCTCCCAAAGTGCTAGGATTACAGGTGTGAGCCACCGTGCCCAGCGGCAGTGTGCTTCTGTAGGGGTCCCAGCTACACAGGAGGCTGAGGCAGGAGAATCGCTTGAGCCTGGGAGGTGGAGGTTGCAGTGAGCTGGGATTGCACTAGTGAACACCAGCCTGGGCAACAGAGTGAGACTCCATCTTGAAAATAATAATAATACATTTTTTTTTTTGAGACAGTCTTGCTCTTGTCACCCCAGGCTGGAGTACAGTGGTGCAGTCTTGGCTCACTGCAACCTCCGTCTCCTGGGTTCAAGCAATTCTCCTGCCTCAGCCTCCTGAGTAGCTGGGATTACAGGCACCCACCACCACACTTGGCTAATTTTTTATTTTTAGTAGAGACAGGGTTTCACTATGTGGGCCAGGCTGGTCTCGAACTCTCGACCTCAGTTGATCCACCTGCCTCGGCCTTCCAAAGTGCTGGGATTACAGGCGGGAGCCATCACGCCCAGCCAATAATGCATTTTTAAAAAAGAATTTATCTAATGAAATAGCCAGTATTTGCATCCATGGCACTAAACATTTTACATGGATTATTTAGTTTCATTTCCAAGAGGAAGGTACCATAACTATTGAGGGCAGGAGGTGTAGATGTGTGGAGGTTCTGGCCAGAGTCACCCAGTGAGGACCCTGGAGGCCACCAGAACTCAGCTCTGGGCTCTGTGGCCTGTCTCCTCTTCCTCTCCCATCTCCAGGCTCCATATCCACTGGGCTGCCACTCACTGTGGGCTGCTGTCCTCTGTGCTTCTGTCCAGGGACCCCGGCCCCTTCTAACCCTTTACTTCCAGACTCTGACTCCGGTTCAGACACCTCCTGAGGTAGGCATTATTTCCTCCTGCTCCTGGGGCCCTCCCATGGGACACATTAAAACTGGGAGTCCCTCATGTGTCGGCTGAGCAGGCTGGACTTGTCCCAAAGGCGATGGAGTGCTCTTGAAGGGTTTTAAAGGAGTGATGAGGTCAAATGCGAATTTTAGAAAGATCCTGAGGGGGAGGGGCAGATATGAAGGGGCGGGGGCTGGAAAGCCCATCAGGAACGGCTCCAGCCCTGAGAGTCTCACTCTCCTTATTTCACAGCCATCGGGTTGCGAAGGTGTAACCTCCACAATGCCTTGTGACACCACACCCATGGCCACTGGCATGGGTCTGATTTTCTGCAATTTTTTTCTTTTTTCTGAGGAAGAGTCTTGCTCTCAGGCTGGAGTGCAGTGGCGTGATCACACCTCACTGGAGCCTTGACCTCCTGGGCTCAGGCAATCCTCCCACCTCAGCCTCCCAAGTAACTGGCGCTAGAAACACACACCACCATGCCTGGCTAATTTTTTTCTTTTTGAGATGGAGTTTTGCTCTTGTTGCCCAGGTTGGAGTGCAATGGCGCCATCTCGGCTCACTGCAACCTCTGCCTCCCAGGTTCAAGCGATTCTCCTGCCCCACCCTCCCGAGTATCTGGGATTACAGGTACCTGCCACCATACCTGGCTAATTTTTGTATTTTCAGTAGTGACGGGGTTTCACCATGTTGGCCAGGCTGGTCTTGAACTCCTGACCTCATGATCTGCCCGCCTCAACCTCCCAAAGTGCTGGGATTACAGGTGTGACCCACAGCACCCGGTCACCAATTCATCTGTTGATAGATACTTGAGCTTCTTCCATGTTTTGGCTATCGTGAATAATGCTGCTATAAACGTGGGTGTGAACATCTCTCTTCCAGACCCTGCTTTTAGTTCCTTTGGATATACACCCAGAAGTAGGACTGTGGATCGGGGTAATTCTGTTTAATTCATGAGGCATCCCATAGTGTTTCCACAGGACCCTGGGCACTTTCACCATAGGCGCTGGAGCAGTTTCTTCACAGGCTTCCCAGCCTCCACATCTTCATATCTACCCCTTCCCTTCCCAGGATCTTTCTAAAATTCACATTTGACCTCATCACTCCTTTAAAACCCTCCAAGAGCTCTCCATGGCTTTTGGGACAAGTCCAGCCTGCTCAGCCAACACACGGGGGACTATCTGTGGTCAGACCCCCCAACCTCTCCAGCCTCATCTGTCTCACCTGAAGCATCACCACTCCACCTCGCCCTTGCAACCAACCACAATCCTTCGATGCCAATCCAAAGAAGCTGAGTTTTTAAAAAATTATTATTTATTTTCTTTTTTTGAGAAAGGGTCTCGCTCTGTCGCCCAGGCTGAAGTGCGGTGGCTCGATCATAGCTCACTGTAGCCTCCAATTCCTGGGCTGGAGCGATCCTTGTGTTCTTTTTCCATTAGTTAACTGGAATTCACTGCCTCCTAGCCCATCGCAGCCCACGGCCTTCAGGCATCGTTGGCCTGGCATTCAGCACCCTGGACCCTTTCCGTGTCGTCTCCCCGCGGGCCCGTGAAGCTCTCAGCGCCAGATCCGAGAGGCTACGTCGATGTTTGCGGGCAGATCCCCGCAGAGTCCCCGAGGTGAGCTGTGGTCGGACTCACCCACCTCCCAGCCCCTTCCCCGCTCCCAAGCCCGCTCCTCAAAGGCTTCATCTCCTCACCCCGCATCGCCCCTACCGCAAGGGTCGCTCACAGGCTTTGATCCCGGCCTGTGTCACGGCCAAACTGGGCCTCAGTTTCCCCAGATGCAGAACGACGTTTGTGGGCGCGGCTCCTCACCCACCCCTTACCGCTGGGGGCAGCTGCCAGGGCGGGTCTTCGCCGCGCTGCCGCTCGCAGATAAGACACGTCCGGATGCCCTTGCAACCGCATTCCCGAAGGACCTCGGGGACCTCGGCTGCAGCAGCCGCCGCCGCCGCTGCCGCCGCCGCCGCCGCCGCCGCCATGGCTCCGTCCGGGTGGCCAGTGCGCAGGCGCGGCCGCTGCGGCCGCTGGGAGTTGTAGTCCCCGCAGGGCGGGGGCACGAGGCCCAGGCTCCGCTTCCTTCCGGTCGTTACCGCCCACGGGCTCGTGCGGCGCCACCTCCTGGGCTCCGTTGCAGCGGACGCCAGTACCGGGCTCCAGGAGACGCAGGGTGACTCCGGACGCCGGGGCCGCACACTGGGTCAGCGCGGGCCGCACCTCCTCGCCATGGGCCCCCTCTCGGCGCGGCTGCTAATGCAGCGCGGGCGCCCCAAGAGCGACCGACTGGGGAAGATCCGGAGCCTGGAGTAAGAGCCGGGCAGGGGGCGAGGTTGTGTCCGCGGGGCGGTTGGGGAGAAGAGCGGGGACCCTCCCCCACGGCCTGCCTGTCCCCGTTACCGCCCTCTGGGTTCGTCAGAGTGGCGCCAAATGTCTTCATGTTGGGAGATAGCGGCCCCGCCCGCTAGCCGGGAGCCCCGGGGGCCCTCGTCCCCTGAAGGGAGCGCGGGCAATTAGGGGCACAGCCTGCCGCTGGCATTAGAGAGTCTGGGAAGCACAGAGGAGCCTCCGAAGGATCAGGAAGAGCATCCTAGAGGAAGCTAGATTGCCCCCAGTCCTAAATTAGTTGCAGGTTTTTTCTTTTTTTAATCGGTCGGGAGCCGGGAGTAGTGGCGCGCTCCTGTAGTCCCAGCTACTCGGTAGGTTGAGGCGGGAGGATCACTCAGCCCAGGAGTTGGAGGCAGCAGTGAGCTATGATCGCGCCTGGGCGCCAGAGTGAGACCCCAGTCTCTAAAAAATAAAGTAACAGAGGGTGGGCGGGGCGGCTGCATTTGTGCAAGAAATGTCAGGTGAAGAAGCCTTCGGAGGTAGCCGGGGCAGGTTGGTGTGGGGGTGCAAGGCTTGCCCGCCTCCTCAGCCTTCCTGGTCTGCCCTCACTTCCAGCCTGTCAGGGTTGGAGCTGCTTTCCGAGCACCTGGACCCCAAGCTCCTGTGCCGCCTGACACAACTGCAGGAGCTGGACCTGTCCAACAACCGGCTGGAAGCGCTGCCGGACAACCTGGGCCTGTCCCACCTGCGTGTCCTCCGCTGCGCCAACAACCAGCTGGGGGATGTCACTGCCTTGTGCCAGTTCCCCAAACTCGAGGAACTCAGCCTGGAAGGCAACCCCTTTCTGACGGTAAGCGGGGCCACCTGCTAGCCTCATACCGGGGCCAGAACTGTGTGGGGCTCAGGCTCAGCATCCCCTGAGTCACTGCCCTGCACTCCCTCTCCCCCAGGTCAATGACAACCTGAAAGTCTCCTTTCTCCTGCCCAAGCTCCGTAAAGTCAACGGCAAGGATGCGTCGTCAACTTACTCTCAGGTGGAGAACCTGAACCGGGAGCTGACCAGCAGGGTAAGGGGTTCATTGAGAAAGTGATAGGGCTGGACATCAGGAGGATGTTGAAGACGGTGACTGGTAAGGGCTCTTTGCCCCAACAGCCCATAGCCTGATGTGCTACTTTTTTTTTTTTTTGGAGATGGAGTCTTACTCCATTTCCCAGGCTGGAGTGCAGTGGCGTGATCTCGGCTCACTGCAGCCTCTGCCTCCCAGGTTCAAGCAATTCTCCTGCCTCAGCCTCCTGAGTAACTGGGATTACAAGCACCTGCCACCACACCCAGCTAAATTTTTTGTCCTTTTAGTAGAAACAGGTTTTCACCATATTGGCCAGGCTGGTCTCAAATGCCTGACCTTAGGTGATCTGCCCACCTCGGCTTCCCAAAGTTCTGGGATTACAGGTGTGAGCCATCACACCCGGCCTGACTCTTCTAAGTAGCTTTTTCTGGGATGTTTCTTTTTACTCTCCTTTTTTTTAGAGACAGAGTCTTGCTCTGCTGCCCAGGTTGAAGTGCAGTGGTGTGATCACAGCTCACTGCAACCTCCAACTCCTGGGCTCAAGCAATCCTCCCGCCCTAGCCTTCCGAATAGCTGGGGCTTTAGGTGTGTGCCACCACATCTGGATCATTTTTAAATTTTTTGTAGAGGTGGAATCTTGCTATGTAGCCCAGGCTCCAACTCCTGGCCTCAAAGATGCTTTCTCCTCAGCCTCCCAGTGGCTGGGACTGCAGGCACCTGGGCTGTGCTGTTTGTGATGTGTTGTTGTTTGTAAGGCTGTGGTTCCTGGAGGCTTCCAGCAGGTGGCGGGATTGAGGTGTTATGAGATAAAGGACAGGGTCGGGGGGGGGGGGGGGGGGGGGGTGGGCTGGCCCTGGATCTGGACCCTCTTGCACCAGGTCACAGCTCACTGGGAGAAGTTCATGGCCACACTGGGCCCTGAAGAGGAGGCTGAGAAGACCCAGGCGGACTTTGTGAAGTCGGCCGTCAGGGATGTCCGCTATGGGCCCGAGTCCCTCAGCGAGTTCACCCAGTGGCGGGTACGTCCCTGTCCCGACGTGCAGGGAGTCGCTGGCTCTCGGATCCTTAGCTGCCTGGAGGTCCCTGGCCAGGAAGGGCTGAGGGGCTGTGGGAGTGGGGTGAGTCAGGGTGGGCAGCCCTGTTGGCTGGAGAGTTAGTTCCTTCTCCAGCTCTGAAGCACAGGCTTCCCCAACCACGAGTTGGCAGGGCTGGGGGCACCCGGGACTGTGCCCAGCTTCCTGATGGCCTGGCCCCACCCAGGTGCGGATGATCTCTGAGGAGCTGGTGGCCTCCAGTAGGACACAGGTACACGAGGCTGACAGCCCAGAGAAGCCCCCAGAAGCCGGAGCTGCCCACAAGCCCAGGGTGAGTGTGGCTCCCAGGGCTCCGAGGCCAGCCCGGCCTCTCGTGCCTAGAGAAGCTGCGGGAGACAAAGCTGTCCTGGGAGTTGGCCCAGGAAGCACCCCACGCCCTGGCGTGCTCCCTCGGTGACCCTGGGCCAGCCTGGGCTTCCTGTACCCACAGTGAGGTGGGACCCAGCCTGTGATGGGGAGGAAGGAAGCCCCAGGCGATGGGCCCATGGTCACAAGGCCCCCCTCCACAGGCCAGACTGGTGGCCTTGAAAAGGCCGGATGATGTCCCACTCAGCCTCTCTCCCAGCAAGCGGGTATGTGCCTCCCCGTTGGCCCAGGTGGAGGGCGGCCCTGTGGCGGGCTCTGATGACGGCCAGGTGAGCTGAGGGAGCAGGGAGCAGGGAGCAGGTGGCAGGTGAGCGGGGCTAAAGCAGCTGTGACCTCCCTCTCCCACAGCCTCTGATGAAGCTGGAGCCCCTGCACTTCCTGCAGTGCCACAGCAAAAACAACAGCCCTCGGGACCTCGAGACGCAGCTGTGGGCCTGCGCCTTTGAGCCAGCCTTCGAGGAGGGTACGTGGTGGCGGGTGGGTGGGAGGGGCAAGGGCGCTGGAAACAGGGCCGCCTGGATGCGTCGGGGGTCAGGAGACAAGAGCTTTAAAGGCACCAACGCTGGGCTTGGTGGTTCATGCTTGTAATCCCAGCACTTTGGGAGGCCAAGGCGGGCGGATCACGAGGTCAAGAGATCGAGACCATCCTGGCCAACTAAAAATACAAAAATTAGCCAAGCGTGGTGGCATGTGCCTGTAGTCTCAGCAACTTGGGAGTCTGAGGCAGGAGAATCACTTGAACCTGGAAGATGGAGGTTGCAGTGAGCCGAGACTGCACCACTGCACTCCAGCCTGGGGAACAGAGCAAGACTCTGTCTCACAAAAGACAAAAAACAAAAAAAAGGCACCATCGAGGCCGGGAGGAGGGGGCTGCAGGGAGGATCTAGATAGGAAATGCCTCCACTCACCTGACCTCCCAAAACCGGGCACTCAGGGGCCACATCCCAGACTGTGGCCACGTGCGGCGGGGAGGCCGTGTGCGTGATTGACTGCCAGACGGGCATCGTGCTCCACAAGTACAAGTCGTCTGGTGAGGTGAGTGCGGACCATGTTCCCGCTGACTCCTGAAGAGCAGCGTGGGATGGGGGCAGCCTCGGCCCCTGCCCCGAATGGCCTTTTTCTTTCATGCTGGGGTTCCCTCCCCCAGGCCCGGGCTCGCCTGTGTGTTCACGCCAATCCCTCTGCCCTGGTGACCTCTTCCTTCTAACCCCCGCCCAGGAGTTCTTCTCCGTGGCCTGGACCGCCCTGATGGTGGTCACACAGGCCGGCCACAAGAAGCGCTGGAGCGTGCTGGCAGCTGCGGGCCTGCGGGGCCTGGTCCGGCTGCTGCACGTGCGTGCCGGCTTCTGCTGCGGGGTCATCCGGGCCCACAAGAAGGCCATCGCCACCCTGTGCTTCAGCCCCGCCCATGAGACCCACCTCTTCAGTAAGACCCTCCCCTTCACCCCTGGGGCTGCCCAGCACCCCTGTCCTGCTGCCCCAGTGGCCCCTCCGCCCTCCCAGGGATGGCCGGGAGCTTGGGTTTTGCACCAGTCCGCCCCTAGCTTTGGTAGGAAGCCCTGTCGCTTCCAGTCTTGGCTTTATCCACAGACTGCTCTGTGGCCTTGGAGTTTTTCAGCAGTCTGGGCCACTCTGTCCTGTCAGTGACCTGGGGGGGATGCCCCTGGCAAGGGGGAGGGGTAAGCCATGGGTGGTGGCCGCTGGAGCCACAGCATCAGGTTAGAGCGAAGAGACAGGGATTGCCCAGCCCAGGAGTGTTCCTGTCTCCTAGCCTCGGCCTGCCCTCCCTGCCTCGGAGGGGCTGGCCTTGGGACCTCGGGCTCAGCCTGGGACGCAGCCGGCAGGAGGGAGCAGTGCCACCTCAGGGCCACCTCTCCCCTGCCCCACCCCCTCCTCAGCGGCCTCTTATGACAAGCGGATCATCCTCTGGGACATCGGGATGCCCAACCAGGACTATGAATTCCAGGCCAGGTGATGCTTCCAGCGAGGCTGGGGAGGGGCTGGCTGCTGGGGCAGGGACACCTCAGTCCAGGGCTGACTCTGCTCCCCCTTGCCCACCGGCAGCCAGCTGCTCACGCTGGACACCACCTCCATCCCCCTGCGCCTCTGTCCCGTCGCCTCCTGCCCGGATGCCCGCCTGCTGGCCGGCTGTGAGGGTGGCTGCTGCTGCTGGGACGTGCGGCTGGACCAGCCCCAGAAGAGGAGGTGAGGCTGGGCAGGGGGTGCCATAGAAGCCAGGCCTCTGCACAGTGTGCTGTCGACCCAGGTGGGCTCAACAGCAGCCCAGGCACACCTGGGCAACCGTAAGGGTTTTCAGAGGCCTCTTCCCAGAGCTGGCCTGTCTCACCTCCCTGCCAGGCTCTGGAGGAAAGGACTCTGCAACCCCGTCCTCACCCTGTATTCAGCTGTGGGACTGGGCCATGATCACCTTTCACCTGGGACTTCAGCACTGTGCTGTGCCCACGTGACCCGGCCCACTCCTGCCACTCATTAGTGTGATGGTCCTCTGTGCTAGTGTAATGTCCTCATCTGTAAAGGGGGCTGATGGCTAGTGGAGGGCAGGCGGCAGGCTCTGGAGTGCCATGTTGAGGCTTTGTGACTCACTGTCCCACCTGGAAGGCCTCCAGGACAGGGCTGGGCATTAGGTCCCTGTCCTCTTGGGGCCCCCAGCCTACAGACGCTAAGCAAAGGCGGCCAATCAAAACCCCACCATGTGATGCCAATTCCGAAGGAGAGGGGAAAAAAGTAATGGATACCAGCGTGGGGGCCTCAGGGGACTCTGCCGAAGGGACCAGTGGCGGATGAATAGGTTCTGGGGCTCCGCTTTCCTCCCTGGGAGCCCGGCGAGGCAGTCAGCAGGTGGAGGGAGGAAATGCTACATGCAAAGGTCAGTGGTGGGGGAGCCCGCTGGTCCTGTGGCCACAGCTGGGTGGACCCAGCCCAGAGCGAGGTGGCCTTCCTCAGCCACAGTGAGAGTTGGATTTTTATTTATTTTTATTTTTTGAGACAGAGTCTCTGTTGTCCAGGCTGGAGTTTGGTGACAATCTCAGCTCACTGCAACCTCTGCCTCCAGGGTTCAAGTGATTCTCTTGCCCCAGCCTCTCAGGTAGCTGGGATTACAGGCACCCGCCACTAAGCTCGGCTAATTTTTATAATTTTAGTAGAGATGGGGTTTTGCTCTGTTGGCCAGGCTGGTCTCGAACTCCTGACCTCGTGATCCGCCTGCCTCAGCCTCCCAGAGTGCTGGGATTACAGGTGTGAGCCACCGCGCCTGTCCTCCCCAGTAGAGTCAGAGCAGAGGCCCCCGACAGCCCCCTGGGCCGTGGCCTGGAAACACCTGCCCTCCTTGGCTGCCGAGAGGGCCAGGCCCCTGCTCATCTCACACTTGGTCCCAGAGGCACTGGCTCGCTCCAGAGCCTTTTCTGACCACCTCGCCTAGCCCCGTTCTGGAAGAGCTACCCCTCAAGCCTCTGGGCCACTACTGTGACTCGGGACACTCAGGTGCTGGCTCCCCCTGCCAGGGCAAACTGAACCATCCTGGGGCCAAGAACATCTCTTTAGTAGCAACTTCTGTGCAGCCTTCACGCAGGTCAGGGCCCCCAGCAGGTGCCCAGGCGAGTGGGCAGCTCTCTGTATCTGCAGGGAGTGGCTGACCAGTGTCTCCTGCTGCCCACAGGGTGTGTGAAGTAGAATTCGTCTTCTCCGAGGGCTCCGAGGCTTCTGGACGGAGAGTGGATGGGCTGGCATTTGTGAATGAGGATGTCGTGGGTGAGTGAGCCTAGCCCGGGACAGCCTGGCCTCTGGGCACGAAGATGGGTTGCTTGTCTCTGGCTGGGCTTCTGAGGGTCTCCAGTGGGAGCAGCTGTCTGGGAGGGGCCGCCCTGCACAGTTCTCGATTCTCCCCCAACAGCCTCCAAGGGCAGCGGCCAGGGCACCATCTGCCTGTGGAGCTGGAGGCAGACGTGGGGTGGCCGGGGCAGCCAGTCCACGGTGGCGGTGGTGGTCCTGGCGCGGCTGCAGTGGTCGCCCACCGAGCTGGCCTACTTCTCACTCAGCACCTGTCCTGGTGAGTCTGCCCTCCGCCCGTGTGCCCGCCCCATCCCCGCAGGGCCTCTGGGAGCCCTGCCCCGACTCAGACTCCACCTCTGTCCTGGCAGATAAGGGGATCGTGCTCTGCGGGGATGAAGAGGGCAACGTGTGGCTCTACGATGTCAGCAACATCCTGAAGCAGCCGCCCCCGCTGCCGGCAGCCCCGCAGGCCCCCACACAGGTACCTCCTGGCTCATTCCGCCTGGGCTCGGGCTGGCAAGGGGTCAGGGGCCCTGCCTTTGGGCAGCAGGAGCCCAGCCCTCCTTTCTCCCCACCAGATCCTGAAGTGGCCCCAGCCCTGGGCCCTTGGCCAGGCGGTGACCAAGACCATGGTGAACACGGTGGTGGCCAATGCCTCCTTCACCTACCTCACTGCCCTGACAGACTCCAACATCGTAGCCATCTGGGGGAGGCCGTAGCCTCACGCGTCGCAAAGGACCAGGGACACAGCTAACTTATTCAGCTCTGGGGTGATAGGGGGTGGGGGGGTGTCCCTATCAATCTGAGTATTTTTATTAAACTCTGGTCGAGAAGCCTGTGGAAAGGTGTTCCTACTTTGATTGACAGGCTGGCCCGGCAGCTGAGGCTTCTAGAGCAGAGAGCCATGGGAGCTCATGGGTTTGCACGCCTCCCCCGGCTCAGCACTGCCTCCCCGGCAGCTCCTGAGCTTTGGTCCAGAATGAATTCGTCCCTACCAACCGGAGGTCCCTGAAACAGGTCATCTACCTGCATCAAGCCCGACAGTGTGCTTGTGAAGCTGCCGCTGCTGAAGTCCACATCCAGGTCTTGTCCTGCCATATTTTATTAGAAATATAAAAGAGAATCTGTACAGGACACGTTGGTGTCAGGGTGAGGGGGGGCCACAAGGTGGGCCATGGCTGGGACCGGCCGTTCTCGGTGGAGGGTCAGGCACAGGTAGGAACCAGGCTCACAGGCTGAGCAGAGCCCCTTCCGGCCCACTACTCAATTCCTTCCTGCTTGTCTTTGATGGCCACCTGGGAGAGAGGAAGAAGGTGGAGACTGGGCTGGAAACACAAGCCCAGCATCCCCTGGCCAGGCCCTTCCTGGAGGGCAGCCATGGGCCACACGCCCCAGGACAGTGGGGCAGCCAACGGCCCTCCCAGCTGGCCCAGCCTGGTCCCGGCCGTTCTCTGCAGCAGCCCCAGCGGGACTCAGGCACCACAGAGGCCTCCTGGTGAGCAGACGACGCCCACGGAAAATCCCCCAAGCTGTGGCTCTTTCCCCTCTAGACTCCCAGGTGCCCTGCTAACAGGTGTGGCCCTACCCTGGGGTGAGCTGCCTCCCAGAAAGGTCTGGAAGGACCAGGCCTTGCCAACCACAGACAAGGGACTCAGAAGAACAGCCCCAAATGATAGCAGGTCCCTGGCTCTGATGCAGCCCACAGCAGGAGGAACCTTGCAGCACTACGGAAGTCCGACGGGGCAGACAGGAGCCACAGGCCTGGAGCCTACAAAGTCGTCCCTGCTCTTCCACCAGCACCGCCTCTCCAAAGAAACAGCCCAGGGCTGTCACCAGCTTGGCACAGGGGCCCAGCATCCAGCCCGCCCTGCCCTCCAGACCCTGCCCTCACCCGGAAGCGCTCCTCCAGCAGGGACAGCTCGCTGATGAGGTCAGTGATGGCGTTGGTGAAGGCCTCCTGAGGGCTGTAGTCTGGCGTGGTCTGCACTCGGATGATGATCTTGTGCTCCAAGGGGTGGGGGACTTTGTAGCCGGCAAAGAGCACCTGCGGGTCCTTTAGCAATTGTCTGCAGTCCGGGAACAGACAGTGTGAGAGTCTAGCCTTGTGCCCTCTGGGCTCAGGCCGGGCAGAAGCCAGCTCAGAGTGAAAGAACAGGCTTTCTAGCCAAATATTCCCCCCAGTTTTTTTTCCCCCCCCAAGAGTCTTCAAGGAAAGCAATGCTTTCAGGAAGATATATCATATGGGGACACCCCACCCCCAGCTCTGACACACCCTGCATCCTAAGGTTGAAGGACCTGAGCAGGAAACACACTCCAGCAACCTCTTCCCACAAAGAACCACAGGGCTGGCAAAGAGATCTCCCAGGCAGTCAATGTCCAGCCAGTGTTCAATAAATCGGACCCAAAAAGAACATCCCACAGCAAATAAAGGCAGCAAGGAGAGGAGGACCCAGGTTCTGAGCAGTGAGTGGAACGGAAGTCTGTCCTCTGGACAGCATCATGTGCTGTGCCCTGGGCATGCAGGGATCTCCTCTTGAGCAGCTCAGGGTGGTGTGAGCACCACGAGGGGCACCCGTGCACAGGTGGCAACACTGGGCTGGAGGAGAGCACAGGGGCTGCCCTGGCTGGACTCCGGGGAGGAGTCCTCCATCCCTGTGCCTGGGCACACCCTGCTCACAGCCTGTGAAAAAGCCTGGCTTCACTGATGGCACCAGAGGGAAGAGCCAAGCCTACAGTGAAATGACAAGTCTCTGGGCCGAAGTGGCAGTCACATTCCGGACAAACCATCTAGCTAGGACTTTAGTGGTGTAAAGGAACACCCCATTAACCAAGGCCGGGCACCTATCTGGCACGGGACAGCCACAGAACTCCCCTACCTCTTCCTCTTGTTAAACAGAAGTTCTAATCTCTGCCACATACATCTTATGAGTGCCGGGGGCACTGAGGTCACAAATAGGGGTGGCATTGGAGGAGCTAATCTTGACTGCTTCTCAGTGCCCCTCAGCCCATGAACACACAGGCCTGCTCTGCCAGAACCTGCTCTCATTCATTCACTTACAAAACGTGTACTTAACAGTGAATGGAAGGCCAGGCGCGTGGCTCATGCCTGTAATCCCAGCACTTTAGGAAGCCAAGGCAGGTGGATCACCTTAGGTCAGGAGTTCAAGACCAGCCTGGCCAACACAGTGAAACCCCGCCTCCACTAAAAACACAAAAATTAGCAGGGCATGGTGGCCAGTCCCAGCAGGAGAATCGCTTGAACCTGGGAGGCAGAAGTTGCAGTGAGCCAAAATTGCGCCACTGCACTCTAGCCTGGACAACAAGAGCGAAAACTCCATCAAAAAAAAAAAAAAAGTAAATGCACACGTTCGTCTACAGAATAAGCCACTACAGAAGCGTAGCTTATGTGAAGACATGAAGGTCAGTGTCATTTTGATAAAAAGGTACCACCATTATAAAATGCCCAGAGCAAGCCCCCAGAAGGACTTCTTGTAGCTCAGAGAGATGGAGGAAAATCTTATAACTTCTGTTTTGCCCAGAGGCGCCCATTAAACATAGCCCCTGAGAGCCTTTGACGGGAAACTTACGATTTAATGATGTTTCCCAGTGTGTGGTCTTCTTTGTTGATGGTGAACAAACAGGCATTGGGTACCTTGGTGTCCTTGTTAATGGTGATCCTAGGAAGACGCAGAGGCCACATATGAGGGACAGGGGCTCTCCTCTTCCAGCCCCGAGTCTAAACCCTGCCTCCTTCCGGCCAGGTGCAGTGGTTCATCTCTGTAATCCCCACACTTTGGGAGGCTGAGGTGGACGGATGACCTGAAGTCAGGAGTTCCAGACCAGCCTGGCCAACATGGTGAAACTGTCTCTACTAAAAATAAAAAAACCCCAAAACCGGGTGTGGTGGCCCATGCCTATTTTCTCAGCGACTTGGGAGGCTGAGGCAGGAGAATCACTTGAACCTGGGAGGTGAAGGCTGAAGTAAGCCGAGATTGCGCCACTGCACTCCAGCCTGGGCAACAGAGCAAGACTGTCTCAAAAAAATAAAAATGAAAAGCTCTGCCTCCTCCTGAAGACCTTTCTCAATCTCTTCATCCCATAAAGACCTCTCCAACCGGATCCCCTGCCCCCTGCCACCCCAGGTCTATGGAACCTTGTCCCTTCTCTGAGTTCCTCCTTTTGTCTGTCCTCTCCCTCTTTTCTTTTGGAAGAGATGAGGTTTTGCTTTGTCATCCTGGGTGGTCTTGAACTCCTCACCCCAGGTGATCCCTCCTGCTGCCCAGGCTGGAGTGCGGTCGTGTGATCACAGCTCACTGCAGCCTTCAGCTCCTCAGTTAAAGTGACCCTCCAGCCTTAGCCTCCTGAGTAGCTGGGACCACAGGCGCATGCCACCATGCCTAAGCCGGCTCCTTTTTTTCTTTTGAGATGGAGTCTTGCTCTGTTGCCCAGGCTGGAGTGCAGTGGCACAATCTAGGCTCACTACAACCTCCGCCTCCCCGGTTCAAGTTATTCTGCCTCAGCCTCCCGAGCAGCTGGGGTTACAGGTGTGTGCCATCATCCTCGGCTATTTTTTTTTTTTTTTTTTTTTTTTTGCATTTTTGGCAGAGACGGGGTTTCACCATGTTGGCCAGGCTGGTCTTGAACTCCTGCCCTTGTGATCCAACCGCCTGGGCCTCCCAAAGTGCCGTGATTACAGGTGTGAGCCACCGTGCCTGACTGCTCCTTTTTTCTAAGGTAGTTTCTCCATGTTGACACCATAGACATTATAGGCTGCATGATTCTTTCCTGTGGGGTGCTATCTTGCAGGACAGCAGCAGCATCCCTGACCTCTATCCAGTAGATTCCAGTCATAACCCCCTTTGACAACCATAAATGTCCCCAATTATTGCCAAATGCCCCTTGTGGAGCCAAATGGTCCCCAGCTGACAGTCTGCTCTAAAATGAGGCCAAGCCAGGCGCAGTGGCTCACACCTGTAATCCCAGCACTTTGGGAGGCAGAGAGGGGCAGATCACCTGAGGTTGGGAGTTTGAGACCAGCCTGACCAACATGGAGAAACCCGGTCTCTACTAAAAATACAAAATTAGCCGGGTGTGATGGCGCATGCCTGTAATCCCAGCTACTCAGGAGGCTGAGGCAGGAAGATCACTTGAACCTGGGACGTGGAGGTGGAGGTTGCAGTGAGATCACACCATTGCACTCCAGCCTGGGTGATGGAGTGAGACTGTCCAAAAAAGGAGGCCAAAGTGGCTGTCAAGAGCCAGACCAAGACCTCTGCACGCCAACCTGGGAACAGTAAGAGCCAGTGGTTTCCCAGTGCTGAGCTTTGGAGCAAGTGCTTGACACAAATTACCTCATCCAATTCTTTTTGAGACAAGATCTCTGTCACCCAGGCTGGAGTGCAGTGATGCGATCATAGCTCACTGGAGCCTGGAACTCCTGTGCTCAAGCGATCCCCCCACCCGAGCCTCCCAAAGTGCTGGGATTAAAAGCGTGAGCCAGCGCACCTGGCCAAATCCCATGTTTAAGAACAGTGATAGACCGGAGGCCGTCACTCACGCCTGTAATCCCTGCTCTCTGGGAGGCCGAGGCAGGAGCATCAGCTGAGACTGGGAGTTCGAAACCAGACAGACTAACATACGGAAACCCCGTCTCTACCAAAAATAAGAAATTAGCCGGGCGTGGTGGCGCATGCCTGTAATTCCAGCTACTCAGGAAACTGAGGCAGGAGAATTGCTTGCACCTGGGAGGGGGAGGTTGCAGTGAGCCGAGATCGCGCCATTGCACTCCAGCCTGGGCAACAAGAGCAAAACTCCGTTTTAAAAAAAAAAAAAAAAACAGTAATAAATCCATTTACCAGAAAAGGAATCATGGCCTCCAACAGATCAAGACACTCGTACAGATACAGTCGCTAAGTGGGGGACCCAGGGGCCGAGCCCAAGCTGTCTGTCCCCGGGACTCCTTCAACCTGCAGGCAGCAAGAAGCCACTGCGGCTCTTACACAGGCCCTTGGCAGATCTCTAAGGAGACAAGAGGATGGAGGTGGCAGGTGGGAGACGAGAGAGGAGGCTGCCACGTCCCAGAGGAAGAGGGCTATGGAGAGCCAGACACTGGGTTCGAATACAAGCCCCGCCACTTCCTCCGTGTCTGGGGCAACTTGCTCCTCCGAGCCTCAGTGTCCTCATCTGCCAAATGGACACACTCGCCATTGCCTCGCGGAACTGGCTTAAATTTGGCCGACACAGGCCGTGCGGACTATCAAGCAAAAGCTGCTTCCCTCCCGGAGCAAGACATGGGCAAGAGACACCCCAGAATGCGACAGTCGCAGCCCAGCAAACCTCGGCCCCTCTCAGCTGGCGTCACTTACTTCTTCTCGCCTTCGAAGAGCAAGAACGACTCGAAGGCTGGAGGGGCGTTCATACTCCTGCCGCTGACGCTGACGCCGCCGCCGCCACTGCCGCGTCCAGACCCCAAGCGTCCGCCGCCGCCGCCGCCGCCGCCGCCGCGTCCAGACCCCAAGCGTCCGCCGCCGCCGCCGCCGCCTCCGGAGCCCCAGTAAGAGGCTTCTTCCGGTTTACTCTGGCGGGGCAAACCCGCGTAGGGACCAGCTCATCGCCCCCTGTCGGGTTGGAGGATCTTGCGCAGGAGCGAGAAAAGCCTGAGCGAGACCAGTACCTCTGCGCCTGCGTCAGTCTGGAGGCCCCTCCCCCCCCAACTTCCATCCCCACGCCTTGCTGCTTTCCACGTGGGGCGCATGCTCAGAGCGCCGGGAGGGCTGCTCTGCCCTTCCAGAGACCTAATCCTGGCTGAGCGGCAACTCCAAGCTGTGCCTTTCTCTGCTCCCCACATCCCTTGATCTCTCTTTGGAACCGTGCACCCCCTTGGAGTGCACAGCAGGAGGCCCCTGAATAGAGAGAATAGAGCTAAGGGGAATGGGCAGCTGCGGCTGGCAGCCGCTGGGGGTGCTGACGAAGGTCTCGTGGCCAGAGGCAGACCTGTGATAAGCCCCCTGCCGAGGCTGCCTACACCGACTGCTGTGAGACCCCTGGCGGGGGTGCCACTGGCTTGTTAGCCGGGAGGGACAGTTGGGTGACGGATGGGGAAGGAGGTGGGTGTATACAGCAGTGAGAGGGAGCTTGGAGGGTTATGTAAATCTTTTTATATATTATCATTTAGAGACAGTGTCTCTATCTGTCACCCAGGCTGGAGTGCAGTGGTGCCATCGTAGCTCCCTGCAGCCTCCAACTCTTGGGTTCCAGAGATCACTTCAGCTTCCCAAGTAGCTAGGACTGCAGGCACGTGCCATCACACCTAGCTATTTTCCTTAAGAGTTGGGGGTCTTGCCGGGCTCGGTGGCTCACGCCTGTAATCCCAGCACTTTGGGAGGCCGAGGCGGGTGGATCACGAGGTCAAGAGATCGAGACCATCCTGGTCAACACGGTGAAACCCCGTCTCTACTAAA